CTCCTTCATTCACCTATAGACACATGGGGTTGCATAAGTGCAGCTCCATCTGGTGTTAAGAGACTGACTCATGCTGGCAGTGATTGTCAGAAATGGGTCCCCTCGAGCACTGTCTTTTTTTTTACTTGTCACTTCGGAAAGGAGGAAATGTGGTTAACTAGTAATTTAGGCAGCATCAAGTGCTTGAAAACGTGTCTTGAAAACGTTGTAAAAATTGCTACAGTTGTTAGTATTGTCACACTGTCCCAGAAAGTCCTTACTAATAAGGTAGAGCATTAGGAATACCCCAAACAGTCTGGTGAAAGACATTGTGATGAGGGGTACATTTTCTGTAGTAAAAGCCTTTCCTAAAAACATTTATCCTCCTCGTGCTCATATTCCACAAGTCTCCATCACATTTCTAAAGCAGAGATGAAACAGTCAAGGACAACTCCATGCAAGCTGCTTGACTGAGTCTGAAAGGCACTACTGAGCAGTAGCAAACATTGCATCCCAGAATCCAGAGGGAATTGGTCGATGTAGTTGCCAAGCACTTTCCATGATATTTGACAAATCACAGCAGTCAGGTGAAATCCCCAGAGATTGGGGAAATGGAAATACTGTATCCATCTTTAGACAGCAGTACTCTGGGGGCTACTGACCTGTCAGCCTCCCCTCTCTGCCTGGGAAGATCATGGAACAGACCCTCGCAGAAGCTGTTCTGAGGACAGGGAAATTATTTGGGACAGCCAGAATGGCATCACCAAGGGCAAGTCCTGACCAGTCCAATGGCCTTCTGTGGTGCAGTGTCTGCAGGAGACAAGGGAAGGGCTACAAATGTCATTTATCTGGACTTCTGCTAAGTCTTGGACATGATCCCCCATATCATCCTTCTCTCTGAATTGAGGGGGAGATGGTTTCAATGAATGCACTATTCAGTGGATGAGAAATTGGCTGGATGGTCACATCCCGAGGGTAGTGGTAACCAGCTCAGAGTCTGGGTGGACATCAGTGACAATAATGCCGCCAGGGGTTTGTACTAGGGGTTGGGACCAGTGTTTTTTAATTTCTTCACTAATGACATAGAGGGGGTGAGTACACCTTCTGCAAGTTTTCAGATGGCCCCGAGCTGAGTGGTGCTGTTGACAACCATGAAGGACACGGTGCCATCCAGAAGAACCTGGAAAAGCTCAAGAAGGAGGCCCATGTGAACTTCAGGAGGTTTAAGGTGGTCAGGTACAAGGTGCTGCACCTGAGTCAGAGAAACTGGTATCAACACAGGCTGGGAGATGAACTGATCAATAGTAGCCCTGCCAAAGATATCTCAGGGCACTGGTGGATGAAAAACTGGACCTGACACATCAGTGTGCTGTCACAGGGGGATTATAGGAAAGACAGGGACATGGACATGACTTTAATGGGGTCTGTTGTGATACTACAATGGATAAAGGATTTAAACTAAAAGAGGGTAGATTCAGTACAGATATATGGAAGAAAATTTTTATGGTTAGAGTAGTGAAATGGTGGAACAAGTTGCCCAGAAAGACTGGGATGCCCCACCCCTGGGTCAGGGAATTCAAAGTCAAGGGTCATTCAAGGTCAGGCTGAAAGGGGCTCTAAGCACCTTTATCTAGATTAAGAAGTCCCTATCATTTCAGGAGAATTGGACAAGATGACCTTTAAAGCCTTTCTCAATCCAAACCATTCTATGACTCTATGATCAAGAGCAGTAGGCCAGTCTCCTAAAATAGGCTGGTGTTTCAAAACCCTAATACAGTAGGAGTGGTATGAAATTGAGGTGTTCACATTGTAAAGAAATGTGACCTTGTTTGAATTAAAAGGAAAAACTTATTTAAAGTGTCAATATTCTAGTTATAATATTTAATAATCAGAACAGGACCAGTAGAATAGCAACAAAATAAAAAATGTATTTTTAAAAAGCAAAACCACAATCAGATGGAGAATTGATAAGCATGAACACACCATAAAATTTGTGCAAGGCAAAGTGGTAAAAATTAAGGACTTTGTGCTACTATTGAGTTGAGCCTGTTGTCTCAACTTGTGGTGTGTGTTTATTATTTTTGTACAATTTAAAATGGACCTTGAAGTGAACACCAAGAGTGGCACTTGCTAGCATAAATTACACACTACAGTCTCTGTATGTGAGCATGGGATGGGTTGAAATGCTATTACTGATGAATCAACACCCAACTTAACGAATATCTGTCATAAGTTATTACCTGTCCCTGAGTTGGTTTTTACCATCCATCTAACATCTAACCTCTCAATGGTTTTGTCACTGGAAGGGGTGTGCGAACTCACAGCTCAGGCCAAGTAAGGCAGCTCAGACCACCTTGACCAGGTGTTTAATCTTGCCCAGCTGACTGCCTGAAGAAATGTAAGAAGCAATCCCTTCATTCACTTGTTGATCAGTACAGGAAAGGAGGTGAGCAACACAGCAGGAGTGTCTTCAGGAGGATCCACAGGCCTACATTTGTATTCCTGAAACCTCTCAGACTACAAAGTAACTCACTAGGAGCCTAAATTTGACAGGAATAAGAATTGCCTGGAGAGCTTTAATATTCTTGGTGGATTCTGCCATACTACATCACAGAAACAATTATGAGTCTTTTCAGTATTTTCAAGGTTGGAAATAATCCAGAAAAACAGGTTCTGTGTTTCCATGTTTCCTTCAATTCTTTCTCCCTACCCTTTTTTCTTTTTTTTTTTTTTTTTTCTTCTTTCCCTAGCTTGGCATGGAAAAAGACAGGGGACAAATAAGGAGAAAAAACATGCCAGGAAAGAAAGACAAAAAAGAATAAAATCTTCCTGAGCAGGAAGAGAAGAAAGGAGGTGCGGGGGGGTNAGAAGTCACAAATAACTTTCTGTCTGGTTCAGTACAGATTATTAATGTACTTTATTCCAATTTAGACTCTTCTAGAAGGAACCATCTAAGAAGAGGTAACATTTGTTTCACCAAAGAGGAGAAATTCAAATGACGGTCACCTGGACGCAAAAGATCCATGCTAATTATTTTCCTCACAGGATGCCAAATTGTCACCATTAAAAATGACCAAAGGTTACAAGTATGCTCTTTTTCAACTGTTGCTTGTGGCTGCCATGGGATAGATTCTCATCTTCCATCGTTTAGGAAACCATTACTAATCTCCATGCGTGAATGTCTTTAAAGTTATAAAGAACAAGGTGCTTATAAAACCATGAGAAGAATTAAGACACTAAAGCATAATGCAACTGTAGCTCCACCTCATTTTCAACAATTACTATGATCACAAGAGTCCATAAAAATATTTTTCTTGCTACCTTGGTCAGGAGACAGGTAACAATTCTTCAATTCTTTTTTTTTTTTTTTTTACAATTCCAAAACTTGTCATTCTTTTGCAATTTATTTTCTAACACAGGTATCTCTTCCGCAGCCACAGAGTAGAAAAACTTCACTCTGTAACCAACCAGTCAGTGTGAAAATAGCTCAGAAATAGTTTAGACAAGGTAACAAGAAGGAATGCACTTTAATAGTAACCTATACAACAGTAGCTGTATTTTTCTGATCAATAGCATTTCTTTTCAAAGTTGCAGTGTTTTCTGATTTCAGACAGCTTAGTGCTTCCTCCATTTTCTTAGCAAAGACTGGCTGAATGATTACTTCCTTTCACTGAGAAGAAATGAGTCCGAATTGGTGCCATTCTCTTCTTCACTGGCTTTTTCAAAAATTGAGATACTTCACCTTGATGCACTTAAAATCATTTCACAAGAAGGTTAAATTGCTATAGCTAATTTTCTGAAGTCTATATGATATAACATACTTCTTGCCTACAAAATTAATGTTTATTTAGCTGATTATGTCACTTCTTCAAATGTTAGCTGCCTGGATATCCACAGGATTTCTGCCGATCCTTGAGGTCACCTGCCTTCCCCCCTCCCCCACACCAGTACCTTTGAAAACAGCCACCTTTTTTGGAGGTAACACGTCATTTCCTGACATATACTATGGTAAATAAAAAGTTAGTTTCATTCTTATTGTCTTGCTATGTAAGTTTTTTTAAAGGAGTGCCCACTTTGCAATTTTTTTGTCCTTATTTATAAACTGTTCAAAGCATTTATAGCCAAAATGATGCAACATTGCAGTAAAGTTATAAAAAATTGTCATTTTTCTTTTAATTTTGCCAATTCACAAACAATACATTTTTCTAAATACTTTGAAAATACACAACCCTAATATAGATATCAACACAGAATGCTTACTTTGAATGTATTAAAATATACAAGTTAATCAAAAGCAAAAAGCTGAAAAAAGTGCAAGTGGCTGGTATATTTATCACACTGAATATTCAGGAACAGTAGCACTGATTTTACAGAAGTCAAGAGAGCACTTGACACAGCACATTTTCATAGGAATGTGTATTCACAGTATTCATAGGAAATATTTAATACTCTTGGTCTAATGGATACAGCAATATTACAGTGCTTCAGGCCCACTGAGCAAGAAAATAAGGCCTGCAATCACCAGGCTAGCAAGTCCATATTTGAAGCATGAAATATTAATGAGGAGGTAGGGTAAAAAGAGGATGCCAGGAAAGATAGAAGCACAGATTTTAAACAAGTATTGAAAGTCATCTCTATAATATTAAACACGCATAACCAGTGTTCCGGAGAAGTCCTGGATTGCTGAATCAACTAATTTTAAGTGAGTTATTTTATAATAAAGCAGAAAAGTCACAATTTACATAAAATCATTAGTAACACATGTAAACTAAACTAGAGAGATGGAAGAAATTTTCATATAAAATATAAAATCTAGGAATAAAAGGGACATTAACCTGCATCTGTTGTTTTACATGAACAAGCCTAACTTTGCTACTGCAGGGATCTCAATGAAATGAGAAGTGCTGACCCTTTCTCCTCACCTTACCAGACTGACTATAAGACATTGCTGCATAAATGTCATTACTTTAAATATATATTAATGCTGTCTCCTACCAGCACTTTACTACTACCTTACCGACCTTGGTTTTATCCCCTGTGCTTATACTACATTGTGTAGAAGCCCAACAGCTGCTATTTCAATACTGTGTAATGTCGAACTGTTTCCACCTTGTCATGGGGTAGCTTTACCTTTAAGATGGCTTTGGGAGCTAAGGAAGTTGAAGCTGCTGGGGCTGATGGGAGTCTTTTCTCCTGACCAATTATCGGTCATTTCTAAGAATTGACAGCAGTTTTGACCATTGAAAAGTGAGATCAACTTGTGAACACCGCCTTAAGATGTAAAGCCAGAGCTCTCTTGTTCTCCCTGGGTTTCCTGCTCGGCCTCCTCCCCCCTCTCCAGGCCGGACAAGGCCGCAGAGGGCGGGGGGGGGAGAAACGGAGCCGGAGCCGGCCGGCCTGACTGGGTTTCAGTTTCTGCTGCTGGACTGAAACCTGACACTATGAACATCTGCAGCTTTCCAAGACTTTAACTCTTTTACTACCTAGATAAAGCGTACAGATTAGTAGTTTTTCCCAGAGAGACAGAGAGAGAGAGAGAGAGAGACAATCAACATGAAGAAGACAGTGAAGAAAAGAGTTAAGTTTTAGATGGGGAAGAGAGAATAAGGAGATGCTTTATAAGGGGAAGAGAGAATAAGGAGATGCTTTATAAGCTGAAATATTTTTCTGTTAAAGCTATGGAGATGGACAATAGTGTTCTGAAAAAAACTCCTTTAATTCATGACAGAGTATATTGGGAGGAATGGAGTTTTCAAAGTGTGGATTTTGAGCAAAAAGTAGAGTGATAAAAAATTGTGATACAGTGAGGAGCTGGAACAGAGTGAAGTGAAGATTTGATGCCTTGAGGGCAATGAGAAAACTTTTCTAGTGAAGCTCACAGAGACAGGTGAAGAGAACTTTTGCCTTTGAATAACTTATCCTTAAAAAATTGTATCCCTAGACTCATGACCCATACACACCTCAGAGTGATGTGAAATGGGAGGAGTGAGCTGATGACAGATTTCTGGGCAGCTGGCATCAGAGAAATAGAAAACTATAACAGAAATAATTTTCTTGTGAGAAACTCCTTAGATTAGCAGAAGACTTCTGTTTATTTACAAAGACTGATGAAAAGACTCTAGCAGGAATTGAGACTGTTTTAAACACCAAAATTCCAAAGTGTTTTGTCTCTATGCTGTCAAGTGAACAAGGGAATGGTTGGGTAGTGGGGAATAAAAGGGTTTTCTGGAAGTTTATTCTGGTGTTCTTATTCTTGTAGTTTTGTTAATAAATTTTCATTATTCCTTTTAAGTTTTAAGCCTGTTTTGCTCTTGTTCTAATCCATATCTCACAACAAGAAATAAGTACGTTTTCTAGTAATTTTTTAGTTACTGCTTTAAAACCACGACACACCTGTTACAGGTTGGCTGTTAAAAGAGTGTGCACCCATCAGGTTGAAGGCCCTACATGATGATCTTTGACCATGTCACTTAAGTAGTATCCCTCAGAGTTTTCACTGAATCACAGAATCATTTAGGTTGAAAAAGGCATCTACAATCAGGTCTAAGCTTGAACTGATAACCACCATGTCAATTAAACCATGGCACTAAGTGGTACATCCAGTCATTGCTTGAACACCTCCATGGATGGCGATTCTACCGCCTCCCTGGGCAATGTCTTCCAATACTTACCAACTCTTTCTGCAAAGAAATTCTTCTTCATGGTGCAGCTTGAGGCCATTTACTCTTGTCCTGTCACTGGTTGCCTGGGAGAAGAGACCAACCACACCTGGCCACAGCCTCCCCCTTCAGGCAGTTGTGGAGAGTGATAAGGTCACTCCTGAGCCTCCTTTTCTCCACACTAAACACCCCCAGCTCCCTCAGCTGCTCCTCACAGCACTTGTGCTCCAGAGCCTGCCCCAGCTCCCCTGCCCTTCTCTGGACTCACTCCAGCCCCTCAGTGTCTTTCCTGCAGTCAGGGCCCAGAACTGGACACAGCACTCCAGGTGTGGCCTCACCAGTGCCCAGGACAGGGGGACAATCCCTGCCCTGCTCCTGCTGGCCACACTATTGCTGAGCCAGGCCAGGATGCCATTGGCCTTCTTGGCCACCTGGGCACAGCCTGGCTCATGTTCAGCTGCTGCCACCAGCACCCCCAGGTCCTTTTCCACTGGGCAGCTTTCCAGCCATTCTATCCCATCTTATGACACTGTCTGGGGTTGTGACTGAAGTGAAGGACTCAATATTTGATTTCTTGAACTTCATACCCTTGATCTCAGTTTCAGGCTGAGTGATTCGGCAGATAAAGAGGCTACCAGAATTTCCTTCCTAACCTTTGGTTAGGGTATTCAGTCAAAACTGAATGTACATGAGCAGAAACATGAATAATCATCTGTTTTCCCCCTTTGGCTGAGAACACTTTTGCCTTCTCAGTAAGGAGAAAAATACGATGAATCTACTAGAAACCAGCAGAGGACTTCTTGTTCCTCTGGTACTGGTTCCTATGGAAAAATAAAGGTATGGTCTTGGCAGCATTCAGCAAGCACAAAATCACATGAATATGGACTTAGAGTGTGTGATAAGAAAGTAACTTCACTAAGTAGCCTCTCACAGCAGGGCATATATATAGTTATAAAAGAGAGTCAGTAAACAACAGTAACTTTTGTCACCACTTAAGGAGAAATGAATTAGAAGCTACTTACCAAGTGCTGTTTTATAGTACGGAAATGCTACTACTTTAGCTAAGAAATACATGCTTGAAATTCATCTCCATCTATTTGAGTGGTTCTCACATAAATAGGCTTGCTAGTCATTTGGGAGGTTACCTCCTGGTTTCAGCAGTTACTGAGCCTGCTGGCACAGAAACTCTTAGTCCAGCCAGGAGCAAACTGGGACAGAGCCTGCATCTGCAGCAGAAAGTCATCATCACAAACCACAGCAAGCTCCTTATTCCTCATCTTCTCCTCCAGGAAATCTATTCCCTAGAGCTGACTTGTTTGTTTGACATATGTCAGGTTAGATAAGAGGAACATCAGTAGACTTAACCCTCCAGTGCTGAGGACTGAACTAAAAATTCAGGCCTGCTTTACATTAGCTACCAGCTGCCTGAAGAAAGTTATCATATTCATATGCAGGATAAATAAAACAAAATAAGCCATAATTTTCATTTAGCTTAGCCATCCTTCAGAAGTACAATAGAAAATATTTCCTTTAAATAACAATTTAGTAAAAGTATATAAATATCATAAATACTATAACAGTTTAGACATTAAAAGTAATAGCAAGATAGCTAAAAAACAAATCAATGCTAAATGTTTCTATGTATAAATAAACTAGTTGCACTCCTACATTTTTCTTCCTCATGCTATTATATTGTCATTCTGTTTTGGGGAGAAGTGGAGTGTTAGGGTTTTTGCAGAACTAGGTGGATAAATGGTCACATAATAAGAAAATTTTGTTATATGTCACTTGGCTTTAGGGTCTAATTCTGCATCGTTTTTCACATCGCTTATACTTTTATCAAATAAAAGCTGTTTGGTGGCCTCTGGGAAATGCATGGAATACCTTAATCCAGTTCATCATCATCTGGTTTTATAGTTGACACAAATTAGCTAGCAGGCAAAAAGGCCAGCTTGTTTTCATTCAAGACCACTGAAGGCAAAGGACAGAACAGAATTATAAATCTCTTTAAAATCTGTTCTTTGTCAAAGTCTGGGGATGGAGGGCGGGGGTGAGGGAGACAGGGTGTATTTGAGTGTGTGTGGTGAGACTTAAAAGTGATATAAAAAAATAGAGAACTTGAAAACTAGTCCCTGAAGTTTACATTTCCTCATGAGTTTAGCCATCTGAATTCTTTGAGCTAAAGGTGATCATCAAAATCCCCAAAGCTTAGATATTCCATGCTATTTGTCCAGATAAACCTAGAGGCTACAAAGATAAAGAAGGTTATAAGAAAAATGAGAGCATACACAGGTTCATGCATGGAATTTGAAACCAATTTTTAAGCTAGCTACTAACAAATTCATAAGGGGAAAAAAAAAAAACCAACAACAAACCTGTAGGTATTCACTACAGGGACTTCTGCCCTTAGCAAGAATTTTATTGATTTTCAAATAAATATGCCCACAAAGCTGATATTATAGGAACTATTTTAGGACACATGGAAAACAATTACACAGTTTCACCAATGATATGCTGCAGGCATTCTGCTATGGCAGCACATCTCTGCGATTGCTGTTATCATACCTGTTTGCAACACAGATATTTTCTCCAAGCTGTTAACCCAAGCATTTCTGAGCTGTTTCCTTGCAAGTTTTGGGAAGAAACAGGTACAATAAGTTGCAATACTGTACATGATGAATTGTATTCCAAATTCACATGGAGAAAAAAGTAGCATGAGCATACATATTAGATAATAAGCAACATGAAATTATATATTTAATAAGCATAGTATAACAAATCACGTTACTTTCATCCATCAGAAATAAAGACCCTGTTGTTCATCCTGTATTCAAAATTCTTATTGTATGAAGCATTGGGAAGTTATCCTGTAACCCATAAAGTACTAAAACACATTTTACTCTTAAAAATATATGTATTTGTTGTTCGTTTTATTGGAAAACCCCCTATTCTCCTGAAGATAGTATCTTACTAAAACACATTAGGAGCTGAAAGGATATGCACAGCATGTTAAGGACTGGAATTAATAGTGCCTGCAAAGCAACAGTCCTTTATCCATCAAGACAGCTTTATATTTAGACTTGGAAAAATCTTCTCATTTATGATTTTCCTTGTTTGGGTTTTTCTGGAATGAACCCAAAACAAATCAGTTATTTGGAATACAAACTCCTAGCTTAATTTGCAATGCATATCTTTATATCAGAAGCTGGGAGGCAATGTCAGAGAAAACACTGTTCTGTACATGTCCTCTTGTGCTCCTCTGTAACTATCCGCTTCAGGCCACTGTCAATTATACAATACAGCAGTCAGCAGAGTTTTAGGGTGACTGAAACTTTTACGGTTAACAGCACCACTGAGACAGAAGAAAAGAGGGAAAGGACAAATGAGTAAAAAGTAATATAAGAAGGAAACAGTGGGGAAAAAATATTTTTTATTATTACTATTATTATTATTATTATTGTTGTTG